GTGCAAGTCTGATATTGTGCAAAGGTTTCAAACTATTTCTAATATCTTTAGTTTTTGCTTCCAAGCAGCCAGACTTTCCTGTGTTGCTCTGGGCTTTTCTGAAGATCTCTCAAAGTTTTCCTTTAGATTTTTGCTGCTTTTTCTCTTATTTTCAGCCTGACTCTTGTATTAAACCATGGCAGCATATTCCACTGTGTGCATTAAAAATGAGGGAGTGGAGGACAAAAGACTAAACCTTGGACATGAAGAACTTTTCTCCATCAGGTGAATAATATCTGAAAGCTATTTCCTGACCTGAAACATGAATCATCCTTCAGGTATTAGGTTATTGGTTAAAAGCTACAGCTTCGTTGGTGCAAAAATATTGGTTTAAATTCATCAAACTGTGTTTTGTTTGGTATATTTTTGTGAATTCACTTAAAAATGAATCAAAATCGTGTCTTAAAGATGGACTACTGGTATCAAAATGTCTTAAGATCCAACCCCTTAACAGTCTTTGTTCCACTGGTGGGAAAAAACGGTGCTGTTTCTGCCTTTAAATGTTTCCAGACACTATCAGGGGCTTTTACTTTGAAAATCATTATTTTGACCATTTACTCCAGTCCTTACCTTTAACATGACACCCTTACATAAAATAATAAAAAATGTGAAACGGCTTTTAAGAAATTTCAGGGGCGACTGTTATCAAAAGATGTCAATTAAACTGATTCATTCTGTGAGTTTAAGATGTTTTTTTTAGGTCAGAGTTATTTGGCAATAAAATATTAACAAAAGACCTTTTCGGATTGATATGGCAATAGTCAGGAATTCAACTGAAAATGAGAAAAACTAAAAAACTAAAAAATAATAACCTATCAGAAAGCCTGGAGTTCGTATATATATTCGTATATATTTATATTTAAAGACCATTTTAAATCATCACATGAACATTTGGCTGCTTAGAAGCCAAACCCAAATAAATGAAGTGCTGAAGACTTTTGCACAGCCCCGTCCCTTCGCAGACTCACTCCGTAGTTGTAGAGAGCGATCCAGGCCGGCTGGTGCAGGCTGTTGATGAGCAGTGAGAGATAGGCCTGCTGGAAGGGGTCCGTCACGGTGGCCAGGGTCCCGTTCAAAGACTCACAGAGGTACAGGGCGCCGGTCCAGTCCAGCCGCTTCCTCACGACCCGGTACGTGACCCCGCCCAGCTCCAGGGGCTTCGACAGYGAGCCGGGGATGAGGGGCGGAGCCGGGGGCAGACTTTGATCTTAAAGGAGATGAAATGATTCAGTTCTCTGCTGTCGCTCTGCCTCGTGGTTCTTACAGAGTCCGGTACCTTGTGGTCTTTGACAGATGAAGCCGTTGCTCTCCATCTCACAGGCCCGGGAGGCCCACATGCCCGTTTTCTTCTCTGGGTTCCCGTGAATCATCACCACGCAGTTTCCCTGAGGTAGGAAGTGACATCATCAACACAGCAACAAACTAGAGCCTGATGGAAAACACAGATAGCATTGTTTGTTAGTGAATACCGGCGTTTTGTTGTGATGGGGTCCGCTGTTATCGAGCGGCTCTCCGGGAGCCCAGTTGGTGTAGCTGAGAAGTCCGGACTTGCTCCACTGGAACTGGCCGTTGGCGTCTGAGGTCAGCCCCACCCAGAGGTCCACGCTGACGTTCTTTAACAGGGTGGTGAGGAAAGCTGCGAGGGAGAGAATCGGGTCGCGTCAAGCGTTCTTTACGTTCCAGGCTCGTGATTCTCTGCTCCAGTTACCTTGAAGCAGATGATTGGGGACCACCGCCAGCATGCCCCTCTGAGAATCACATTTCAGCTTGGCTGCAGACCAGGTGACCCGGATGGACTCAAACACCTTAAAACACTGCAGACAGAGTGGAAAGCGAAGTTAAGCGTCATTTTCCGGGTCGTTGTTTGGTTGCATCATGGAAGGGAAATGAAATGAAACCTTATGTTGGTAAGAAAACCATTTGTCTGGACATCCTGATGGAGAATGAGGAGCTGATGGAGTTGGAGGTGCGGTCCCTGTAACGTTCACTCTCTTACAGATGTAAGGCAGGTCAGAGAGACACTTCTGATCGGCCCAGTCACCTGTCCACACGGGAAGAAAAACAATAAAACATCCAAAGACACCTGCCGTTAGCCTGTTTAATTTCTTTAAGGCTACGTCCACATCGCAGGTCTAAATGCTCAGTTCTGATTTTTTGAAAAAAATCTGTGAGCGTTCACTTTATTTGAGCTCTCTGAATTGTCTAAAATAATAGTTTCGTCCAAATCATCAACATGTCTGCTGATCATAATATTCTATTACAGAGGCTTGAACTTGATATATTATTACAGAAACAGCTCAAAAATTTTTTTAGTTGTTTCTAATTGATAATTCCAGTTTGTAAATATTCAAATGTTAACCAGAATTAATCATCGAGTTCCTCAGGGTTCAGTGCTTGGACCAATCCTCTTTACTTTATATATACTGATATATTTATATATGAGTTGAAAAGGAGGTGCCGTGGATTAGGGTTGGGCGATATTRCCAAAAAAATTAATCACGATTAATTGTGGTATTTAGCCGATAACGATTAATTTGATGATTAATCCCCTGGAGTCCCTGGACACCCTTATGTCCTGGTTACATGACTAATTTAGTGGGAAAGATTTACTCTTCATAAAAATCTGTTTCAAATTGTGTCAAAATCACAGACTTCAGGTATAATTAAAATTTTCAATTGTGTCGATAGATAAATTACAGAACTTTTTTAAAAATGTTTATCATATTTGAAGCGGAGAGGAGCACCGAGCAGACTGACCGGGGAAATATCCAGTCTGTCTGACTGGTGGCATTAATCGTRTTAATCGTCAAGTGCCAAAAAATAATCGATTAATGTTYYTCTGACGATTAATTGCACACGATACGATTATGCCCAACCCTACCGTGGATGCAGAGCAGGAGCAAAGAGGAGAGAGAGGAGGAAGTTCAAACCATCTCTTCCATCAATCCTGAGATACACCTCATAAAAGGGGTGGGGCTTGTGGAGTTACAATTGGTCGTTGGGTAACAAGTTGGACGAACTCCAAGCCCTAAAAAACCCCAGCTAGAGTATCAGGAATGCGGCATTATGTGTTTCACTGAGACATGACTGCAAGATTACATCCCTGACTCCAGCGTCTCTCTGCCAGGCTTTCTGACCATACAAGGACAAAACTGAGCACCCTCTTCATARGACTGCCAYTACAWCAGAGGGTCTTCAGTCAAGGCTTCTTCAGATCCGCTGTAAAATGGACCGCTACAGGAGAACCTTCCAGCACACAGCCATCAGTAAGATGCCAGGATAATATGAGTTACAGCAACGTTTAATTTCCCTTTGGGATTAATAAAGTATTGTCGAATTGAATTGAATAAGCTTCCACTACGTAAAGTTATTAAACAGCATGGGATAAATGTTCACTGTTATGCTGATGATACTCAGTTATATATTTATCCATGAAACCTAATGAATCCAATCAGTTAAAATAAATAAATAAACTAAAATGAATTTAACTATATTTTAAATATGACATGCAGAAGAAGACAACACATTCAACTCACTGTCAACAGAAGTCAACATGGATGCTACATGTTAGCATGTCGATTATGAAGCTGTTTTGCAATCAGAGCCGATTAAATATTTATCTGACATGCGGCTCCATTACAGCATGTATTTTTGGAACGAGAGTTGATGTGCTGAAAGTAAAACATCGATCCAGTAACTTTATTATCAATACGGTCCGAGACCGACGTTACTTTCATTTAATTTCTGTGGATTCTCAGTCATCCAGGACATGGAAAATTAAAYGWAAAAAGGTGAAGCAATTGGTTTTCTGTTCTATAAAGGAAGACATGTGGCAGCGCTACAAGATGTAAACTGCACCAGGTTGGTATCAATGCTCTAAATACTCGGATCGACCCGTATACCCCCACCTCTCTGATGTAAAAGTCAGCATTCACACTGCAGTCACACCGAAAACCATCAGATATGTTTCCAATTCAGTACCACAAACTGAAAAGACCTGGGCCAGATGTGCCTGCAGCGTGAACGCAGCCTTTATCTTCGGACGATCTTACCTTTGCTGGCAGACATGTGGACGCATTTGCGATCGCGGCTGAGCGGGTGTGGCCTGCCGAGCGCCCACGAAACGTAATTGAGCACAGAGTGGTCAGACCAGCGGAAACGCCCGTCRTTTTCAAAGGTGTGAAGCCCGAGCCACCACTTATCACCCTCCACCTTCACCATCTGACGGGGAGATGGAAGAGTACAGGAGAGGCGATACATAACTGTAAAAACGTCACCCGTTCAGGAGATTTGTTTCAAACTTAGTGAAAAAGCGTGGCGTACCTTGTCTAAGGTGTTTGCCAGGAATGCCTGTTCATCCTTGGAGTGAACCGAGGTGAGAGAGGAATCAAACCAGGAGCAGATCCTCTGGGCCTGATCCCAGGTGGTGCGATGGTCAAAGAATTTATACTCAGCCTCCTGGAAGGGGATCCATTCTGGTGAACTGGTACCTGAGAAATAAGTTTAAAAAAAGGTGAAATCACACAAACACACTTACAGAAAATAAAATGTCCGTTTGCAAAGATAAAATCCAATTAAAGAAGACATATCCTGCTTCTAAATCCTTCTTTTTAACATTTAAATCCTTCAATTGGGGTATAAATAAAGTGGAACTGCAATGCTTTGCTCTGAATTCCTCCTTATTGCAACTCCACAAGCCCCGCCCCTTTTATGAGGTGTATCTCACATCAACTCACTCTGAGGCTGTCTCTTTAAATCTAAACGAGGCGCTTTACATCCCGCCCCCCTCCAGCTTCCAGAGCGGTTCATTCTAGTTTGAAAGAGGGGTTTGCGGTTGTATAGCAGCGCAGAAATGTTTATTTACAAATGAATTAAAAGATGTCAACAAGGGTAAACTTCATCCATCCTTACATGTTGGAGCCAGAGTCTGACCCAGAACCAGAGGAGAATGAAGACCACCAAACTTTGGTTGGTAAGTCAAGACCTGATTTATGAATGAATGAAATGAAAATATCTTTATTTCAAAACAGATAAAACAAACAAACAAAAATGTGTAAATATCTATATACATATACTGTATATGAA